AAGGTGGTTATACCAAACACAACTTGAAAGCAGGTCCTACTTTACATGCAAAGCCACCGAATAAATAAACTCCAGATTTGTCGTTGCCCCTATTTTTTACCAGACCCCCCAAGCTGGGCTTGGGCCCAGCTCTGGCCTACAAGGAGGCAGGTGGGAAAGATAAGCTAAGAAAGCTGCCAAAGGCACCAGGCGGTGCTGTTTCCAGAAGAAATACTTCTCCACAGCACCAACTCCAGGTGAAAGAGTAGCAATCAGCTGGCAGGATAAGCTTGCTAAGCCTTTTCCTGTTACTTCTGTAAATGTCTGCACAACCAAACCTAGTCACAGAGGCAGAAAAAGCACCTGCCAGGCAGCCATCAGTCCTGGTTCTAGTGCCACTGCCACCACCACCCAGTAGTGGCACTTGGCCAAGCCGCTTCCCCTTACTTGTCAAATAAAACGTTTGGTTCAGATTATGACTTAAGAATTCTCCCACTTAAAAAAAATTCTAATGTTCTATTCAAATTATGCTCTAAAAGATCATTATTTTCTTTGCTTAACACTGTGTGATAGTCGCTATCCTTTCACAGGGCAGTACACTTAGCATAAATGTGAGCTGCATCCTTATTTCCCACTTCTTATCTCTCAGCTAGATCCTGTGGTAACGCTGTTCCATTTTTTTTTTACCCTCCTTGAGTAGCACAGTGAAGGCCTTCCCCCCAACAATACTTGCTCTGATGCAGACATAGGGACGTGTAGAACAGTCGGAGCCAGACACCAGGAGCCGCCCTGCAGAAAACATGAGAAAGGGGGTGGGTGTCTAAGGCTCAGGTACAGAGGAGATGACCGTGTCCTTCTGAGCGATGGGCACCAAGATGTGGACATGACCTTGGAATTAGACTAGCTACAAATAATCTTTTGACTGTTTCACTTTCATTTACTTCCACATAATCTTACATGCATACTGCTAATATACATGAATTTCCCATCACGGCATCTCCTCCTTCCTCCTTCTGATGAAGACAATGAACAAACAGTGAAGATGATGGAGAAAGAGAGACCAAAAGAAAGTTGATATATCACCTCTAGGGAACATGCTGTGACAGACAGGATTTTCTGAATAACTAGAGAAAAATCCTTTAAGCCCATCTGCTACCTTTGTTCAAAGAACCTAAAATTCAATCAGCAGCTCTACTTTAACTCTTTTTCCACTTCCTGGAAAATTTTGTACTTCTGATAAATGTAGATTAGAATATGTACTTAAGATTTTAAAGGGAAAGAGGGGTAGGTGATGGGTTTAACCTGGGGAAGGATTAGCCTGATGTAAAGGTCCCACCTCCACCCTACATGAGTCCTGAGACTGAGTGGTACAGAGAGCTTAGTGGACCACAGCGATCAGGACAATTCCTAAATAGCTACGTGGATAAAAATGCCAGATTCCAGAATGCAAAGGGGCAGACTAGTTACAGGGGGAAGGGCTGCTGAGGTCTCAGCCTGGGCTCTGCATGTTGAGTTGTGCACACTGCCCCAGCACACTTGGCGGCTTCCACACTTCCCACCAGAATGAGTGAGGCAAGAGAGCCCTCCGCCTATTCTGACATTGAAAGCCCTTTCAGAAACTTGTGGACTCAAAGGATTTAAACTATGTTGGGAGTTGCGAATCCAAATGCGCTGGGGAAGGGTTGAAGGAATAAGGGGAAAGGAGTAAGCATCCAGGAATGGGGTCTCCGGTGAACTAGAGCATGCCAGCCTTTCTAAAGGCAGCCAAATTTAGTTATTTATCTATCTTTACTTATTTATTTTTAATTGCCCAGACAAAAGCCTGTGGTCCAATTTATAGCTCCTAGACTAGGAGAGTTCCAGTGTGGCAATGGCTAAGGGGTGGGGCCGGGGGCCAGGACTCTAAACATCAGACCACTTTCATCAAGTCTAGGGAGAGAATGGAATTCAGGAGCTGCTTTCATGACACAGAGAAAACTGCAGCCATGAGTCAGTCTGATCCCGTCAGGTCTTGTCCAGTGTTCCTTTGAAGCCTACTCCACCCTACAACATTAGCACCCTGGCTAAAAGGAACCAGAAAGCTCTTTCATCCCGGGAGAGAATAACCATCACAGGAGGGCAGTTTCCACATTACTACTCGCTCAAAGGAAAACTGACTCAGGCTCAGCCAGAAAACATGGTCAAATGAGACATTTCCTAAAGAGATAAAGTAAGCTTAGCAACAAAACATAATGCTTTCTAAAACAAATGAGGGAACAAGGAGATGGTTATCCAAATAAACATCTTAGTGGACTCTTTTCCTAATATGAGGAATTGTTCTTCAAAATTTAAATTTAGAACAAACACACAATACACAAAAAACAATCTTCCACATTGTGGAAGATGTATTTTGGTTCTGAAAAAATTAAAGTGTGAAGATTCGGCCATCTCAGACACCACCTACTACCCATCTCGATGAATCAGAGCAGCCCAGGAACTGAGTGGAACATGGACGATGAAAATGGACCCAAGTTCTTCATGTTAGGAACATATGAGGCTCTTCCCACCCCGGCCTAGCACACTGAGCTTGCAGCAAAGAGACCTGAGGGCCACATAGGTCACCTGTCCTCTCTTTTCCAAAGCAGGCTTGGTTTTAGAGGCCCCTCTTCCACACCAAACAAGAAGTCCTTTCTCCTCCCTCCTCAAATGTCCCTATAGCTTCCCAGGGTGCCCGAAACTCAAAGCATCAGCTGCCTCCAAACCTAGAAGTTTTATCTTGATTTAATGGTACAGGTCAGGAGGCCTAAATCTCTCATCCATTTTTTTTCTTTTTTTTTTTTTTTTTTTTAGCATTTTACATCTAAAATGAATTTTTACTCTCTAGGTATCAAATATCTCAAGACTATACCCACTTGAATGAGTTGATTACAGGCATAAATGACTTGCAGTCAAATGGCTCCTACACATTTTGAGGTGGGAAAATGCTCCAGAAGACAGAAGTCACGCCCTATTCAAGCAGCATAGTAGAGCTTTCTCCGAGCCAAAGCTCTCGTGGGAAAGAGGAGTGTACCTAGTGGAAAGAAGCAGGGCGAACTTTGGCCCAGCCGCTCCCTGCAGTTGCCTCTCCTTCAAATTTAAACACAGGGTGCATCCTGAAACCAAGGCAAAAACTGAAAATAAGTGAAAGGGCTGCTTCCATTGGGTTCTTAACCCACATAGCAAAGGCCCATGTGGCTCCGGACAGAGCCCCGGCCACTGCACAGGGATGCTGGGTGGGAGTCAGCTGCACACTCCCGTCCTGCCTGTTACAAACACACGCTCTCTCCTCTTCCCATCACAACCCCAAACATTTCCACAGGCCAACAACGAGGGGGCGAGGACTGCAGCAGAGCCCAGTGTGCCTCCCACTAAGGGGACCTTTCGACACCCACCCTCCAGCACAGCCTGAGGATGAGATCAGACTCTATTCTATAGGCCACAAAACAAGCTGACTTTGTGACCAGCTGGCTGGCCCTCCTGTGAGGCCCTAAAGATGGACAAGGATTGATTTCGCCCACAGGGACCTCATTCTCTATGCAGAAAGCTTAGCCAAACCATTTTAAAATAAGTACATTCAGAGGATAAGCAAAGCAACATTTCTAAAGCGCCTCTGTGAGGTTCCCGTTTGTAAGAACCCCTTCTCTGTCCCTCCCTTTGGCCTCCTGCTCTAACCCCAAGCTGCTCTGCACACACGCACTGCTGAGCTCACTGCCCCCCAGTGTCCCTCTGATGGCAGCCTCCTGACTCAAGAATCTACAGTGGCTTCCCAGTCGCCATCGGTCCACAGTCAGATGACTCACTTTAGCACCCAAATTCCTGCATTTTTCAACAGAAAGCTTCAGAGGGCCTACTTTACCTAATGGACAAGAATATGTCAAGTGCATTTAGGAAAAGGGTTGTTCTGACACACTCGATTGTATTTAGAATGGTATGTAGTTTCAGAATAAGGTTGGGGAGAACAAACACTTCCTGGGGGCTGCTTCTGGGAATGCCATCTCCCTTCGGGGAAGGGTTCCAAGAGCACAGAGCGCTTAGTCCAGCAGGGCAAACGGGGAAGCTCACCTCTCCTCTCTCCCTTCCCCTCACAAGGGAGCTGCCAAGAAGCAAGCAGGCTGCTCCTCTTCCCGGCAAACTCTGCCGCTGCCGATGAAGCCTGCCCCGCCCCAGGTGCACTCTCTGGGTGGGTAAGTCTGACTCATTTCAGGGATCAGTAGTAGGAAACCCACTTTCTTGCAGATACAAGCCACACTGTCTCGTATGAGCTGTGTGAGGGACAGAGGTGATGTTTGGTGTGTACCTGCTGACACCGTAGCCTTTTTGTCAATTTGTTTAGAGCCTGTGAGGGGACAGATGGTATTATTTATTGGATTCCCTCAAAAATACTAACACGTCCCCACCCCCTGTAACCTTTTGATTAAGAGGCCTACTAGGGGGCAATTCCAGAAGGTTCTCTATGTGTCTCCACCAGCATCACATACCAGGCCCACCTCTATAGACAGTTCCCGAGAAATGGCTGGAAATCCATCCTCACCTCTGGAGACACCCACCCTACAGGTCACCCTACAAGTAACATATCTAGAAAAGTAAAAATCGCCCTGATTATCTATGGAATTATCATAGGCTTTATCATATACGACAAATTACATTTATAACAGCTGCTTCCTGAAATATTGGCAACCATCCTTACAACAAGGGAAAGGTACAAAAGTCCCCAAGAAAAACCTATACATCTAATCAGAGATGGGTATAAACAAGGCTAAGACAAAACACACAGCCCTCTCTGCCAAAAGCATCGATTGCTTCCACATACTACTAGCGACCAGGACGCTGAATGGCTCGCCTGCTTGGCAGGAAAGCACTGAAGAGGCTTCCCCGGAGGTTCAGAGAGAGTGAGTGTAGCCAAAGCCACATCGGGGTGGGTACGTCTAACCACCGAAATGGATGTTTCCCACACACCCTCCTCAGCCACCAGAAATGAGGAGAGTTGAAGTGGGCAGACTTACGTGCTCTTTCATCTTGCTAGCCACGGTTGGTGACATCATGACACAGCAGAGGACGACGATGAGAATGAAGTAGAGAGCATACATGAAGCGGGTACTCCGGGACTGTCGGATCTTGGGGCAGCAGCCACAGCAGAGGGAGCAGCCAGCAGACCCACAGCAGCAGGCCAGCTAGAAAAGGAACACACAACATCCTCTTAAAGGCACTGCTTTACCAACCTGCTAACCCGGCCCGAGCCCTCTGCAGACCGACCTTTTGGGTGACCATTTTTCTGAGCCATCCTGCCCATGGAGCATGCTGGAACAATTCAGCATGTGAGCAAAGCTTTCGGCTGAATTGGTCTAATGTTGTCTTTAATGATAAGCCTTAAGGCTTGGGAGAAGCCTAGTAATTAATTAAACATGAAAGGCACAATTCACCTGAAGCATTATCATCGTTACTTTAGGCAAAATAAAAGATTTCTGGGATCAGCTAAAAGCTAGAGAAGCCAGGAACTAGAAAAAGGCCAAAGCGAGGTGAGGAGAACATGTAAAACAGGGGATCAGGCCCAAGCAAAGGAACTGTCAATATCCATTAGCAAAAGAATAATCTGTATGAACACCTGGGGGCAGGTAGGCGCGCTGGCACCCATCCTCCTTCACAGGAAACAGTGGGAGCGTCCAACTTGGATCTCAGAAGGAACAGATGCCTCTTCCCCTGGCATTGTTTACTACAGCTTCATGCCCCTAATGGTAGGCTTTTCGGCTAATGAGTGGGGCCCGGGCGCAGAGGAACATGGAGCCCTGCTGTCCCTCTGCTAGCACACACACCTTTTATTTGGGGAAAGCAGCTTTTTTTTTTTCTTTTTAAATCTTTGACTGGGCTTTATTGATCAATGCAATTAGACACAATCTGGGAATATTGAATAAACAGTGATTACGTTTCCAGGTGTGGGTCTGGTGTTAATTTTTTTTCTTTTAAAACACTATTTTTTAGAGTAGTTTTAGGTTTACAATAAAATTGAAAAGGCAGCAGAGATTTCCCATGTGCTTCTACTCCCACATGTATAGGCTCCCCCATTTGTCAGTGTTACTCACAAGAATGTACTTTTCTTTTTTTAAACCATGGATGAACCTACATGGGTGTATCATGATCACCCAAAGACCATACCATGACTCACCTAAGGGTTCCTTGCGTATGTCATGGGTTTGGACAAATATATACTGATGTATATCCATCATTATAATATCATATGGTGTACTTCCGCTGTCCTATAACAAACTAGATCTTCATCAAAGCACAGGGCAATAGAGTGTAGTGTTACAGCTCAAGCTCAAAGTCACCCTGCCTGACTTGGGGGACTGGGTCTGCCACCTTACAAGCTGTGAACCATGAGCGAGTTACCAATCCTTTTAAAACTCATTTATAAAGTGGGGGCAGTACCAGTATTGATGATTATGCTATGGTCTCTTGGACCTAATCAGACACACCTCGAGTTAGGGAGGGATTTCTACAAGATCATCATAAACTGCAAATAACTACTAAACCTACATGTATATACTATAGTCTATTTCAACCTACAACCTAACAATTCAGTCTCTTGATAATGATTTGGAAGGAAGTTCAAGACCTTGCATTGTTATAGGAAAATGAAGCGACCAGACACTGAGGGATTCTGGAGTACGAGGTTTATTAATGTGCATGGGCCCAGAGAAGTCAGTCTCCAAATTCTGAGCCCCGAACAAAGGATTCTTGGGGGTTTATATAGCCTAGGGGGTCTTCCTGTCTACCTGCAAAGCCGGATACAGAAGCAGAATTCGGTAATTAGTTCTATCTACAGGGCAGACGCAGAGTACAAAGGCTAAATGTGAAAATTGGTTCTATCAGCAGGGGTGCTAGCCCCAGTCCTAATGACTATCCGGCTGTTTGCTTTTCCCAGACAGCCTTATAGTTCTCCTATGGCGCCTGGGGTCTAGGGTAAGCAAAGGTCTCCTAAGGCTTCTCCCTTCAGCATAACTACAAATCAAGCATTAATTAGAACGCGACACTATAAACATCACTTAGAATGAGAAAATATTATAGGTAAACACATGTAAGACTGGCTATAATCACAAGGAAGTTATGACGCATCTTGGAAATGTAGTCATTTCCCAAGCTATTGTATCTACTTCACGAAGCTGCCATTGCTTGAGGCCTCGGTCATTCTGTACTGTTTCATTACTTTAAATTTTTGCCAATGTAGTCTCTCTCCTTTTTCACTCAGTTTTCCAAGCCATCTTCTCCAAAAGACTCCTCTTGCTTTATAAGGTTACCCACTGTTTAGTAAGATTAGTTATTCCACTTGGGCTGAGCTAACGGCTCACACCAAGTGGGACCCTAACACTACTGCCCATGTGGTGTTCTCATGGGCCCCCTTCCTGCACAATTCATTCACTCAGATTTTCTATCCCCGGTTTCACTAACTGCTTCCCACTCACATTCCCCTCCCTCTCTGGGCCCTGCCTCCCTCCCCTTGCCTCCCATATTCCTTTCCGACTGCCTCCTTCACGGGGGGCTAACTCTTTAGTTCTCTGGTCTTAGATAACCAGTCTTACTATATTTGAAATTCAAATGTGATCAATGAAATATCCTATTTGAGAATATGAGTATTTTTAAAGCAGTTAATGCTTCCTATGGTAGGCCCTTCCCACAGTAGAATCAACAGTTAAACGTATTACCTCCACAGAAGGGAAAAATGAACTGACACACACATAATGTGGGCCTAACTGGTCATTTAAAGACACAAACAGACTTCCGCCAAGATGGAGGTGTAGGTGGAACAACCTTACCTCTGTGCACAACCAAATCTAAGAACAACTATTTTTAACAGCAACAAACGCAACCAAGCCACACAGAAAATCGACAATACGGAGTCCAAAGACAACTAAATGCTCAGCTAAACCGGTAGGAGGAGCGAAGCCAGCAGCGGAGCAGGTTAGCAAGAAAAAATCCCCGAACGGGTGGTGCGCGGTGCTGATCGCGGTGCTGATCGCGGGCTGGCTACGGGAGCACACAGGCGCGGCAGGCTGTCTGCGGTGGGTCGCGCATCTGCGTGCGGATAAACCAGTGAGAAGGGAAGCTTGCGCGGGGCAGCAGGCTCACACAATTCCGATCAGATAAACAGGTCTGGGGCCAGTGGTGTGACTGGACGGGCTGGGCTAGCGGAGAGGACCGCCATCGCTCCCTCTCTGACCACGCCCCCACACACAGCGTCACAAACCAGCGACCTGGGTCGCCCCGTCCTGGTAAACAACTAAGGCTTCACTCGCTTACTTAATGGCACAAATAGACCAAAAATGGCTCTAGGACAACTCAGAGCCCCAGAACCGATAGATCTAAGCGATGAAGAAATAGCCAGTCTTTCAGATGCACAGTTCAAAACACTGGTTATCAGGATCCTTACAGAACTGGTTGATTTTAGTCACAAATTAGAGAAACATATGGAAGCTAAACTAATTGAAATGAATGGTAATACAAAGGAAACCAATACTAATGGAAAGGAGAATGGGACTCAAATCAAGGGAGTGGACCAGAAGGAAGAAAAAAATGATCAAACAGAAAAGAATGAAGAAATAAGAATTCAGAAAAATGAGGAGAAGCTTAGGAACCTCCAGGACATCTTTAAATGTTCCAACATTCAAATTATAGGGGTACCAGAAGGGGAAGAGTCACGAGTGGAAACCTTATTTGAACAGATAATAAAGGAGAACTTCTCTGTTCTGGCAAAGGAAATAGACTTCCAGGAAATCCAGGAAACTCAGAGAGTCCCAAAGAAGTTGGACCCAAGAAGGAACACACCAAGACACATCATCATTACATTAGCCAAGATTAAAATGAAGGAGAGAATCCTAGAAGCAGCAAGAGCTAAGGGGACAGTCACCTACAAAGGAGTTCCCATCAGACTGTCAGCTGATTTCTCAAAAGAGACCTTACAGGCAAGAAGGGACTGGAAAGAAGTATTCCAAGTCATGAAATCCAAAGACCTACAACCAAGATTGCTCTACCCAGCAAAGTTTTCATTTAGAATGGAAGGACAGATAAAGTGCTTCTCAGATAAGGTCAAGTTCAAGGAGTTCATCATCACTAAGCCCTTATTATATGAAATGTTACAGGGACTTACCTAAGAAAAAGAAGATAAAAAAGATGAACAGTGAAAGGACAGCAAACTCACAGTTATTAAGAACCACACCTAAAACAAAAGCAAACTAAGAGGACAGCTAGAACAGGAGCAGAACCATAGAAATGAAGATCACATGGAGGGCTAGCAACAGGAGAGTGGAGGAGGAGAAAGGGGGGAGAAGGTACAGAAAATAAGTGGCATAGACAGTAGATAGAAAGTAGATGGGGGGAGGGTAAGAATAGTAGGGAAAATACAGAATCTAAAGAATTTGAGACACATGTTCATGAACTGAGGGGGGAGGTAATGGGGGAGGGGTGTGCGGGGTGGAGGGGAATGGAGGGGGGAATGGAACGAATGTAATGACATAATCAATAAAAAAGTTTAAAAAAAAGAGCAAAAAAAAGACACAAACAGTGACAGAGATGTGATTATGAAAAATGTGAAGAAGAAATCATACTGGTTTAATCCTATTCTATTATTAAAGTCACACTGCAGTCCAAGGATCTGACTTTTCAAAGCTTTTTTACTTTCACTTCCCCTGTGTATTATGGTAAGATTGATAGATAAGACAGACAGACAGGTAGATAGACATGCACATACACACACATGCTTATAAAATCCCATACTGTTTTCCTAGTAACCTGAAAGTTCTATTTATCAGAGCAAACTACGCCAACAACCAAGGGTGCAGTGCATTATCTTTAGCTAAATAAACATTGACAAAAACAACAGGTAGAAATTCAAAAGAGCATCCATAAAAGAAATTATTATATTAGCACCCAGGGAAATCTCACAGCCCTGCTGACTTACCACGTCTTTATGGAAAAGCAAAAGTCAGAATGAAAAAGGTTTGCACCTAGCCCCTGACACTCATAGCTTTATTACTCTGAGTACGTCACTGCCCTGATCCCCACCTTTGAAACTAGAATAATTCTTGGCCAGACTGACTTCCAGGGCTTTCCCAAGCATGAAGAGGAGTGCCAGTGTCTGGTAACCCATGGCTTCAGTAAAAGGCCAAAACCTTTTGCTGAA